GCTTGAGTTTCCTCACCTGTTACATAGGGGAAAGAGCACTCACATTTTAGGGTCCCTGTTTAGAGTAGTTTGTTTTCAAAAGGGGGATAGTTAACCCATCCTGCGTACTTCCTGTATGTCAAGTAGTCTTCTATGGCTTCTACATGTGTTGTGTAGATTAGTTCTCACAGTGCCTGATATATGGAAGACACTGGATAAATATTTAAAGATCAAAGGAGGAAGGAAAGTAGATGACATAGAGGGGGAAGAAGGGGGAGGGGGGAGGGAAGGAAGAAGGGAAGGAGAAGGAACGGAGGGAAACGAACTGTGCTAATAAATTTAGGTGCTTGGCTTTTTTATTGTAACAAAGTTGCAATGAATAAACTCTTCAGAAGGGAAAATTAATGCAAATTACAATGGAATTGCAACCACAGTATTGGTTACACACAATAAAATATACCACATTATATGTAACAATTGAAACAAAAAGAACCATTTAACTTTCTAAGTCCACGACCCTGGAATTAATCCAGCACAAAAGAAGTAGGAAGACTATTTTGCTGCTTTTGGAATTCTAAAAAAAACCTCTTATAGATTTATTTCTTCTACTCACAAACACAAAATGTAGGAGCAGTTTGCCCAGGAAGCACCTCTCATCTTGTAATATCTCCAGAAGCCAAAGAAACGCGTCTATTTGGAAGAATGCTTTGCATAAGTGCACATCCTCATGCTTTAAACTATTTCATTCACTTAGAGTGAAATGAACTTGACTTTATTTGGAACTGTCACAGTGTGATTTATTTCCCAATTTCCCTTCCTGTCAGTGGACCATAACCATCACAGCGCATTGTACACATGTCCTGCATACCACATGGGTTCTCTGTTTTCAGCAAACACAGTGATTGTGATGTTGGATTCAGGAAGGACAAGGCATACACAACAGCCCAGACTGGCCCATGACAAATTACAAAGACAACATCCCTGGTTTTTCCATTCTATCATCCAGTGCTTTTCTCCGCTCCATTAGATGGGCAGGGCAATTTTTCAAGGCCCTGCCACCAGACCCAGCTCATTTCCTAGATTTTGATGAAAAGGTCCCAATTGAGGGACTATCACCCTTCTTGGGGAGCCTGCTAGATCCCTGCTCTGGACCAAATGTAGCCTGGCAAGGATTCATTGCTGGACGTGCTGTGGTTCCCACTGTAACAGAATCGAAAGAAAGTAGAACTATTAAGAGGTGGGGTACGGGGAGCCATAACTAGGTCATAGGGACATCTCCCTTGGAAGGGATCAATGCCTCTCTCACAGGAGTGCGTCAGAAGTCAACCGACTGGATTGATTAGCCAAACAGTAGGCTTTATGGAGCAAGTCTGGCTCTCTCAGCTCTCTCTGTTGCTGCCTCTCTTGTCACGTGACCTCTCCTTCAGGATTTCCTGTGAGGCTGTCTGGTGGTGGTGAGTTCTCCCAGTTTTTGCTTTTCTGGAAAATATTTTATTTCTCCTCTGGCTCACTTAGCGCTTGTAATACAGTCTTGCGGGGCTCTGGTTTCCTTACTTGCAATGCATTGACGATAACATTACCTAATTCTGGGATTGCTGTGAGAACTGAGATAGCAGTTTCAAAGCATGTGGGCAGTGTCAAACACAGAATGCTTGAACACATTCTAGAGATTTCTACCCTGTAGAGTGGCAGCTCCATTGTTTTCCCATCTATGAATAAAATACTCCAGGACAGCTGATGTTAACAAGAAAAATCCAAAGTCCTTCTAGACTCTTTTTGCTGCCCTAACAAAATGCCTGAGATAGAGTAATTTTATAAAGAGCAGAAATGTGTGTCTCACAGTTCTGGACTCTGGATGTGCAAGGCCAAGGTGCCAGGTGGTTTATTCAAGGAGAGCCTGGTCTCATCTCCAAGATGGCTTCCTGTCTTCATATCTGTGGAATGCTGTGCCCTCCCCAGGCAGAGGACAGAAGGGAAGAGGAGGTAAATGCCCTTTGCCAAGCCCTTTTGGAAGAAGGGTACTGAGGCCATGTATGAGGGCCAGCCCTCATGACTGAGCCACCTTCTAAAGGCTGCACCTCTTAACACTGCTTCATTGAGGGTTAACTTTCTTTTTTTTTAAATTTTTTTTTAAATTTTTGACAGGCAGAGTGGACAGAGAGAGAGAGACAGAGAGAAAGGTCTTCCTTTTCTATTGGTTCACCCTCCAATGGCCGCCGCTGCAGCCGGCGCATCACGCTGATCCAAAGCCAGGAGCCAGGTGCTTCCTCCTGGTCTCCCATGCGGGTGCAGGGCCCAAGCACCTGGGCCATCCTCCACTGCACTCCCGGGCCACAGCAGAGAGCTGGCCTGGAAGAGGGGCAACCAGGACAGAATCCGGCGCCCCGATCAGGACTAGAACGCGGTGTGCCAGTGCTGCAAGGTGGAGGATTAGCCTAGTGAGCCACAGCGCCGGCGAGGGTTAACTTTCAACATGAATTACTGTGGGGACAAAAACATCCAAACCATAGTACCCCTTTGACAAGCACAGCTTCACAGTAAGGTTGAGAGTTCAAGAGAGGGTAGAGCTGAGGATAGACGCTCAGAACCAACATGGCAATTGCAACTGCCCTAGAGAACTTTCTAGACTCCAGGCTGCCTCACTTTGTTTCTTCTGACCCGGAGGCTGACAGCCTTGTACGGAACCTGAGGTCATGTCTCTCAGGAACTAATCTACCTAGGATGCTCCCTGCCACTAGCTTTGCAGCCTTGATGAGCTCCCTGCTGTCAAAAGGCACAAGTTGAAGCTCAGGCATGTTTGCCAAACTCACCTGCTGTTCATGCCATCCAGCACCAGACCTTCCAGGGGCGCAGCCACCGTGTTCGCCCATGTTGTCATCTGCATGTGGAAATGTCACACGTGCAGCTGTCACAGGCACAGTCGTCTCTCTGATGCCACAAGTAATAAACCTGTGGATGCAACGGATGTTTCTGATCGTCCGGGGCTTGTACTAGCTTGCACTATTTATCCCACGTTGTCTGGCTTTCAGAAGACAGGGAAATGACGAGAAGCTGACTTTGGGGTGGAAGCAGTGGATGTCACCTAAGTTTATTCTTGGGGTGTCTTTGAGGATCTCCTCAGAACTCCAGTGTTCCTCTTGCTGGAGGGACAACACAACGATGTCCTGCATGCCAGTCGGTTCCTCTGGTTTAGTACTCCGTGCCTCCACGTCTCCCAGGTCTACACTCGCAGGCTTACTGTTCAAGCAACCCTCTATGCCGTGTACTGCTTTTGCCAAACCAAGTGGTGGTCCCTGCCCCTGCTTCACTTCACATTGTTTGATGTTCCTGCCTCTCTGCCAAGTTCATGTCCTCGTCTCCACCTGGCCATAATGGTAGCTGACAGTAAATGCTTAACGGCAGGAAGTATTGAAATAACACATTTCTCCTCATTCAGCATTGCTCAATGAATCTTCTTTTACAGGGTGAGTATCACCCGCACATGCACTCCATACTGCCTGCTAGGATTGCAACACGAAGATTTTACGTGTTACATAGCGCACCCCCAACCCTGTGGTTTTTTTTTTTCATTTTTTTCAAACAGGGTAGAGACCAATCACTACTTTTGTAATAATAACACACTGAAAGATAACCCGAGAGGTGAATGGACACTTGAGGAAGAGCCCCTTGCTGCTGTCGCTGCTTTCTCTGGAGCTGGGCTGAGGCGTGTGGGGCCCTTCCGCAATTGCGTGGGGTGGAGGGGGGATTGGTGGGGCTGTGAGAGGTTCCTTTCCCTTCCTTCACAGCTCAGAGTGATGAGCAGGGGCATGGATGGAAGGGCTCACGGGTGGGTTTGTGTTTATTTATTTGGGGGAAATCTGTAGACAGGAAGCCATGACTTCAAAGAAACAAAACCCAACAATGACAACTCACTTTATACCGAGCCTGTTCATAAAAAGTGCCTGTCTGCATGGAAAGCCAAGACACTCTGGAAAAAAAAAAAAAAAAAAACTAAATGAAAGATCTCTGCAAGTGAAATCCCAGTGGAAAGAACGGGTCATCAAAGTAGGAGGTACCTTTCTCTGAAGGGAGGAGAGAACTTCCACTTTGACCATGGCCTTGTCTAAGAGTCAGTGAACTCAAAAGGCTTCCATAGCCTTGGCAGCTCATGACAAGAGCCTCAGGTGATTACTGATGCCATAAACAAGAGTGTCAATTTGTTAAGTCAACAACAGGAGCCACTGTGCACTTACTCCTCATGTAGGATCTCTGTCCTTAGTGTGTTGTACATTGAGATTTAATGCTATAACTAGTACTCAAACAGTATTTTTCACTTTATGTTTCTGTGTGGGAGAAAACTGTTGAAATCTTTACTTAATGTATGCTAAACTGATCTTCTGTATATAAAGAGAATTGAAAATGAATCTTGATGTGAATGGAAGGGGAGAGGGGGTGGGAAAGGGGAGGGTTGCGGGTGGGAGGGACATTATGGGGGGTAAGCCACTGTAATCCATAAGCTGTACTTTGGAAATTTATATTCATTAAATAAAAGTTAAAAAATAAATAAATAAATAAAATAAAAAGTGCCTGTCTGGCCGGCGCTGCGGCTCACTAGGCTAATCCTCCGCCTTGCGGCACCAGCACACCAGGTTCTAGCCCCGGTCGGGGCGCTGGATTCTGTCCTGGTTGCCCTCTTCCAGGCAACTCTCTGCTGTGGCCCGGGAAGGCAGTGGAGGTTTGTGGGGGTGGCTGCAGCGCCTCTCACCAGCCCCTACTGCTGCAAAGCACAGTGCCGGCCGGAGCCAGGTCTGGCTTGGCCAGCGTTACCCGAGTTACAGGAGACTGCACCGGGTGGGCTGAAAGGCAAGCCGTCTGGACAGAAGACTGCCCTGAGGCCTTGTTCCATTCTGGTCGTGGGTTTCGGGAGAAGGAGGCATCGTGCGGAGTCACCGCTCTGCCCCCTTGGGGGCCCTCCTGCTGAGGGCGGGAAACGCGGCGCCGCAGGGCCCTGCGCGGCCGCCGTAGAGTCCCGTTGCCATGGCTACCAGAGTCCCCCGGAGACGCTCTGAGGCGCGCTGCGAAGCCTGAAGGGAGTCCTCCTCCGGCTTCGGGTCAGGCTTCCCCGACCGGCGAACCCGAGAGGCGCCATGGGCTGGAGTAAGCAGGCGCCCCTCTCACCTCCTGCCCTCGGTCGTCCCCGTCGCGGGCGTCGGCGGGTGTGCGTGGGAAACCCGGCCGGCAGCCCCGGACCCCAGCGCCCAGGACCCAGGCCCTGTGTGGGGCTTCGCGCTCCGCAGACCTCGGCTCACGGGTGCTGTAGCCCGGCCTGTGAGAGTGGCGGGGCGGGGGCCCACGGCCTTGGGCTTGGAGGAAGTGGGGGCGGCAGGTGCGGTCCGGGGCTGCGTGTGACCCCGGGCTTGTCACCGTGCGGAAGCCGCCGCCCTCAGACGCACGCAGGAAGGGGGTGTAGCGGTGACTTCACCCCTTGGGGCACGCGGTGTAGACGGGTCTGTTGAGAAATGCACCCAGAACCTCAAGGGTTTGGGGGCTTATCGGTTATCAGTTCTGATGCGGACAACAGATTTTATCTCCGCAAACGGCAGTCTTGAACGGCTCCATGTATCAGTTATTGTAAAAATCCCACTGAACACATTTGCATACTTCTCATCAAGAGATAGTGGTAGCTGATGGGGCTTCTGCCCGCAGGGCCTCACAGCCTGTGGTGGAGGGAGTGCGTGTAAAGCGCAAACCCCATTGCTAGCCCCTCCCTGATGCCGCCTCAGTTCCCTGGGCCTACCTTCCGTGTGCAGGGACCGCATATTATTGTCTGTGCGGGTTATCCTTTGCCCTCTGACTCTTACCAGACTTGCAAGGCGGCCCTGAGGGATGCAGCGCTGAGCAAGCCAGAGGTGGGCTTCTCTCCTGTTGGTTGAGAGGCAAACACAGGTGCATCGCTTATGGGGCTGCCTGTGCCCTGGACTCAGCCCGAGGGCAGCAGGCAGGGGACCCTGGAGGCCTGGGACTGCCAAGAGAGGCCCAAGAACAGTGACCAGTGGTACAGCTGGGGTGAGGGGAGGAATTAAGGGATGGAGGGGCAGAGAAAAGGAAGGCTGGAGAGAGGCGGGCGGGGGTCAGATCCACAGGTCGTGCAGATCCCACGAAGAACTGAGAAATTCGTCAGAAGAGCAGTGGTGGACCACAGAGGGGGAACCAGTCGGCCGGCATGACTGGGCTATTTCGGAGTTCAAGTCAGTGGCCAGGCAGCAGCGTGCACTGTGGTGAGGACTGGATCGGTGCTTGACTTTGTTCTCTGCACACGTTCCGAGCAGCAGGAATCCCGATCGTCCCCATCTAGGTGACGGAAACTGAGGCCCGGAGATCGGGTCCCCTTGGGACTGAACCCATACAGATATCCTCAGGGTGGCAGACTGAGGCCAAGTGGGGGCATTTGGGGGGTTTGGTGCCTGGAAGCTGTGGCTGCGTGTCTCTCCCTGGGCTGTCCCTGCACGGCTTCCTGCCCCTTGCTAACATCTCTTCACTTTTCTAGAAGACTTTGGAAACATGGAGTCCTGTTTTTTGTTTTGTTTTGTTTTGTTTTGTTTTGTTTTGTTTTGTTTTCTCTTTCCTTAAGTGCTTGGCAGAATTCATCAGCAGAAACATCCATGCCATGGTCTTCTGGGTGCAAAGGTTTTCAACCACATAGTCAATTACTTCGGTAGATACAGGGCCGTTCAGTCTATGGTTTCTTGAGTGAGCTTTGGTTTCATCATACAAGGGATTTACCCCTTTGCTCTAAGTTCCTGAATTTGATGGCACAAGACCATTTATATTATGTATTCCTTTATTCTAGTGCCTGCAGAATGGAGATAATGTCACCTCTCTGAATCTTTTTTTTTTTTTGACAGGCAGAGTTAGACAGAGAGAGAGACAGAGAGAAAGATTTTCCTTTCCATTGGTTCATCCCCCCCCCCCCCAAATGGCCGCTATGGTCGGTGCTGCGCCATTCCAAAGCCAGGAGCCACGTGCTTCCTCCTGGTCTCCCATGCAGGTGCAGGGCCCAAGCACTTGGGCCATCCTCCACTGCCTTCCCGGGCCACAGCAGAGAGCTGGACTGGGACAGAATCCGGCGCCCCAACCGGGACTAGAACCCGGAGTGCCAGCGCTGCAGGCGGAGGATTAGCCAAGTGAGCTGTGGTGCCGGCTTCTGAATCCTAAAATCTACAATTTGTGTCCTCTCTCTCTTTTTTAAATGAAGTCTCACTAGAAGTTTACCAATTTGTATTTTTTAAATGAGCTTTTTAATTCTTACTGATTTTTCTCTGTTGTTTTTCTGCTTTCCATTTCATTGATTTCTGTTATAATCTCTTTTATTTTAGGTGTAGTTTGCTCTTTTGCTAATTTCTTAGCGTGGAAGCCAATTTTTTTTTTTCTGTAGCAGTTCAGTGCTGTAGATTTCCCTCTAGGAAGGTTTAGGTACATTTCACAAACTTTGATATGATATTGATTTGTTTTCATTTTGGTAAAATATGTTAATTTCCCTTTTGACTTTCTGGTGTCCAATGTATTTTTTTAATCTTTACTCAGATATATTTCGGATTTTTGGTTATTTTGGGGTGTTTGGTAGTTGCTGTCCCATAACTCCATCATGCTCAAAGATGGAAGTCGCTGCTACTCTTCCGGGTAAGCCCTGGTCCTAGTCCTCAGCCAGTGTCTGTGCTCTGGCTCCACGAAATGCTACCAGGTTGGTGGCCGGGTTTTTCACACTCAGCTCTCACCAGACCATTAGAATCTCTCTGCCTGTAGCGCTTAGCTGCCCAGTGCAAGTGTTCTTTAAGTAACAGCTCCCTCACAGTTTCTCTATGCCTGAGATTTGACAACTCCCAAAAAACCATTCCCCTGTGTTGGTGTCCCCGCTCTGTTCTACACCCCTGAGCCTTAACAGCTGTACCACTGCCTCGGGCCAGACCCTGTGTCCTGCCTGCGGCCAGTGACGGCATCCACACTGTCACTTCAGCAGCGGAACTCTCTCCTAGCTAGCGTCTGCTTTCACGGGCCCCTTTAACTGTCAGCGCTGCCAGGCTGAGTCCCCCAGGAAGCAGAGCAGCAGGTGCAGACTGATGTGCTGGAGGTTTACGAGGGCGAGTTCTCGGGATGGGTAGGGAGAAAGCAAGAGTGGACAGAGGGGGAAGTTGGGCTGTGATGAGTTTCAGGAGGCCTCCGCTAACCACCCCCAGGAGCTCTAACCATGCATGGACCTTCTGACTTGCCCAAGGGTGGGGGACTAGGCCTTTGCAACCCCACATCATGGCTTTGGGCTGTCTTGGGAAGGGGCATGACCTTGGCTGAGGTGTCTGTTCAGCTGCAGTGACCCCTGACGGAGGTGGGCTTCCAAGGGCTGTCTCGCCCAGCTGGAGGAATTACTCCTTGCGAATCAGAGGGGGAACATGATAGCCTGGGAGGCCTTTCTGCCCGATCTCCCCTGTCCGCATTCAGCCCAGGCTTTTCTTGGTGAAGCCTCTCCTGGCCTCTTCTCTCTTGACAGCACTGATCGCTCCCTTCTTTGCACTCATTAACTTTCTGTGTGCTTCTGTCTTCGCCCCCTGTAACCTTGTGCTTTGGAATGGTGCACTCTATGTCCACACCCCTTAAAGGTATCAACGGAGTAGGGCACAGTATGGCTCCTGATGCACGTTCGGATGACCTGGGTCCGTGAGAAAAGTCGGGGTAAATGTGCAATCCAATTTTTAAACATTGTCCATTGAAAATTATAAAAGAAAAAAGTTTAGATGCTGTAAGAGGTAGCCTTCCTCTGTTTGCAATTCCTTCCTTTCTATTCAATCTTTGTTTTCTATCTGCATTTGCTAGGTCTTTCAACATTTGAAAATGACCCCAAAGCTGCTATAAACACATGTTGGCTGATTTTATTCCAATCCAGTGAGAAAGAGAGGGCATGGAGGAATATACACTGAATTGTTGGCTCTGGGAGTTCTGGAACTTTGTTGAATATACTGAAAAGCTTGGGAAAAGCAAAGGGCTACCTCCATGTTCCCAGAAACCTCCCCTCTGCCTTTCCTGCCCCCTCCTTGCAAAGCCATTTTACTGATAGAACCCACATATTGCAGGAATTGAGAAGAAACCTCGGCTGGCTTATCGGAGTTAAACCTTTAGATTCCTCGGCAACGTGTTTTAGAGCCACTTCTTACACTCCATCAGAGTCTTGCATTTCACTGTTTGAACTTTTCTAAAAGAAGGAAATGTAAACGATATGTTTCATAAGAGCAAGGGTTTGTTCTAAATCTATACCATACCAGATTAGGTGTTGCAATACCACCTCTGTTGACATAGTCTGGAAAGGACATATCTGTTTTGGAAGTGTTTTTAAAATGTTTTTTTTAAAGATTTATTATTTATGTATATTTGAAAGGTAGAGAGAGAGAGAGAGGAGGGAGGGAAAAGGGAGAGAGGGAGGGAGGGTAGGAGGAAGGGAGGGAGGGAGAGAGAGAGGGAGAATCTGCCATCCTCTGATTCATTTCCTAAATGCCCACAAAGGCTGGGGGCTTGGCCAGGTGAAAGCCCGGAGCCAGAGACTCTTTCCTGGTCTCCTGCTTGGGTGGCAGGGACCTCAGTAATTGAGCCATAATTTGCTGCCTCCCAGGGTGCACATTAGCAGGAACCTGGAGTAGAAGCAGCGGTGGGACTTGATCCCAGGCAGGCTTTCCAAGCAGTGACTTAAGAGTTAATGCCACAATAGCTGCCCCCAAACCATTTTTAAGTTCCTAGGATGAGCTTACGTAAGCGCAGTGCTGTATCACTTGGAGCCGGAGTTTCTGAAAGGGAGCATCCCTTCATGAAGTTAAAGGGTGGTTGGCCCAAGTTAGCATATAAAATTGCAACGGGCCTTTCCATTTAAAAGCATGAAACGCTATAATCTCTGTGCACCATATAGATATTTTTACGCATTTTTCTTAGGTACTCTGGTCTTTCCTCTGATGCTTGCCATTGCAGATGAAGCAGTGTGGTATAATAACAGTTACTCGAGCGCTGTAAAGTGATGGGCCACACAGCAGTGTGCTTCCTCTAGAAGAGTTCAGAAAAGGGCCACTGAGAAATTCCAGACATTCACGGTCCCACCTTCCTTAGTGACTCTGCATTTTCTTCTCATCCATCATAGTGTATAGCTACTGCTGTTGAGACAGCACCACTGTTTTTTTTTTTAACTTTTATTTAATGAATATAAATTTCCAAAGTACAGCTTATGGATTACAATGGCTTCCCCCCCCATAACATCCCTCCCACCCGCAACCCTCCCCTCTCCCACTCCCTCTCCCCTTCCATTCACATCAAGATTCATTTTCGATTCTCTTTATATACAGAAGATCAGTTTAGCATACATTAAGTAAAGATTTCAACAGTTTTCTCCCACACAGAAACATAAAGTGAAAAATAATAGATGATTTTTTAAATGATGATGAAATCAGATCAGACCTATTGTCATGTTTAATCCCAGTGAGAGTCAAGTTGGGAATTGATAATTTCTTCTTCTTCTTCTTTTTTTTTTTTTTTTTTTACAGAAGATCAGTTTAGTATACATTAAGTAAAGCTTTCAACAGTTTGCACCCCCATAGAAACACAAAGTGAAATATACTGTTTGAGTCTCGTTATAGCATTAAGTCTCAATGTACAGCATGCTAAGGACAGAGATCCTACATGAGGAGCGAGTGCACAGTGACTCCTGTTGTTGACTTTACCAATTGACACTCCTGTCTATGGCATCAGTAATCTCCCTATGCTCCAGTCATGAGTTTCCAAGGCTATGGAAGCCCCTTGAGTTCTCCGACTCTTATCTTGTTTAGACAAGGTCATAGTCAAAGTGGAGGTTCTCTCCTCCCTTCAGAGAAAGGCACCTCCCTCTTTGAAGACCTGTTCTTTCCACTGGGATCTCACTCACAGAGATCTTTCATTTAGGTTTTTTTGTTTTGTTTTGTTTTGTTTTGCCAGAGTGTCTTGGCTTTCCATGCCTGAAATACCCTCATGGGCTTTTCAGCCAGATCGGAATGCCTTTAGGGCTGATTCTGAGGCCAGAGGAGACAGCACCACTGTTGTGCCCCTCCTTTCACGTGTGTGTGTGTGTGTGTGTGCATGTGTGTAAATTAGTTATTCATGCTAGGGGGTTCCTTCACCTCCTACTCTTAATACCTAGTGTTGACTTTTATCATTTTAATTCTAAGGGTTAGGAGATATGGATCAGTATAATCCCTTCCTAATATCTATATGCCTTTGAAGGGGAAGATTTGATAATTGCTTTAAAATGATCATTTTTAGACACATGATGAATACACTTTCTGAAATTTTGAGAGGTGTAGCAAGAGGCTACAGGAAGGGTATTTGGTATCAGTAGGACCTTTGCCAACCGTGTCAATCGTCAGGGAAAACTGGAAAGGCCTTTAAAACTGCAGAACTGGAGAAGTTGAATGCCTCCCTACCCAGGGAGCCCAGAAGCCCCCTATGGGCTGCACAGATGAGACCAGAGACCAGCTGATGTTTAAGATGCTCTCAGAACTCCCCAGAACAGGGGCTGGCATTGTGGAGAAGTGGGTAAAGCTGCTGCCTGCGATGCTAGCTTTTCATAGGAGCACTGGTTCCTATCTACTTCTGATCCAGCTCCCTGCTGGTGGCCTGGGAAAAGCAATGGAAGATCTCCCAAGTGCTTGTGCCCCTGCCACTCATGTGGGAGACGTGGGTGAAGCTTCTGGCTCCTGACTTCAGCTTGGCCAGCCCTGACCATTGCAGCCTTCTGGGGAGTGAACCAGTGGAATGCAAGACCCCTCTTTCTTCCCCTCCCCCTAACTCTGACTTTCAAATAAATAAATACATCTTTGAAAAAAAAGAAAGAGTTCCCGGAACACATTCCAGTCATCATAGATAGTCCCTGTGGGGTTCCAGTTAGGTTATATTAAATTAAATCTTCCACTGGAATCTGGGGCAAGAATGGAAGTAAAGGTGTATGGATCAAGTTATAGATCGAGTGACTAGATAAAATGTGTCTTATTCCCTTGGCACGCATGCCTTCCCGAAACCCAGATGGCAGATGTAATGCAACTTTCCCATACTGCTTGGAGTTCTGTGCCAGGGCGTGGTAGCTTGAGGAAAGGTGGTCTCCTGGTCTGTCTTCCCTCCTCTTCCCACCCTTGGCTGTATCCTCACCCTTCTTGTTCATGTATGAGGGTGGATTCTCCAGCCCACACAACCCCTGGAAAAAGCTGCTCCTTGGACACTCCTGGAAGTGGGGATGCATATGGGATGGGATTTCCGTCTGTCAGAATGAACTTGGAGAAGAAGCCAGTGTAGGGCATAGGAACAGGCTTGGGCCTCTTGGGCAGAACATCTTCCTTCTTGAAGCATGGTCCAGAGGGGAGGGCGTGAGCTATGGATGTGCAGCCCCACGGACTCCAGGTCTCCTGGCAGTAAGGGCTCCAGCAAACCACACCCCTGCCCCATAGGCTTGTGTAGTTCAAACCACAGCTACCCCATTAGTCACTGAAGGTCTTAGCAGTAGTAGCAAATAAACCTCGGATTTCGCTAAGTTAGCTCAAACAATGTTGGTTCTGCTGTCTCAGCCTCTTCACCCACGTTGTATCCTTGGTGATAGAATGCGTAGAGGTGAATGACAGATACATGTAACAGGCATTACATCTGTAATGTAAACCGGCATCTATACCCAGCAGCTTTGCTATATCCTCATGTTGGTGGTACCTGCTTATTCATTATTCTTTTTCATGCCCTTCTCTTTCTTACCGGTTTGGTTTCTAGGAAGTATTTTTTTGTTTTGTTTTGGTTGGCTAGAGCAGTCTATTTAAGCTGGCGTACAAAATGGTAGTGGCATTCCAGGAAGGAACAGGGCTGGCAGGAGGGACCTCAGCAAGCCAGGGCACGTGAGGTTGTCCTTTGAGCTTCCTTCCACCGTGGCCTGCCCCTTCCCAGTACCAGGTTTGCAGCCATCTCTGCCTGTCAGTTGAACCCACAGAGGCGTCTGCCACAAATAGTTTCATCTCTGTTTTCCTTGTCTTCCTTCCAAAGAACTATCATTGCAAACAACCCTTTCTCCTCCCATCAGAAGTAGAAGATTGTTTGGCTTACTGTATGCACATGGTCAAGTTCTTACACTTTTTTACATTTTCCAAAGAGACGTGTTCCCTTTTCGTGGGTTTGGCTCAGAGGCAGAATGGTCAAAAGGTGTGATGAAGAACTTTGTCTTTGCCTAGAGGGGTCTGCACAGTCAGGAAACCTGAGAAACCTCAGGAGGCTCTTATTGCTTGTGTTTAAGGCAGCGTAGCATAGTGGTTAGAAGCACATAGCCTGGGGCTGGACAGTGAATTTGAAACCTGGCTCTAGCACTTTCCACCAAGACTGTAGAAAACCATTGATACTTTCTGGGCTTTATTTCCTCATCTAGAAAATGTCAGTAGTGACATTGTGCATTCATACATTAATAAATGCAAAACATTTGGAATAGTGCTTAGCACCTTGTAAGTGAAATAAATAAATATTATCTCCTGGGGTGGATATGCAATCTTTCTACATTCTGCCTAAAATGTGATGGTTCAGCAATATTAACATATTTTAGTAGGAGTGGGAAAGCCAGGATTTTTCCATTGGCATTACCTCTTCAATTTCAGTGCATCTGTACAGACGATTTATGGTTTTCTGTATGGCTCCAACTTGGGCCATGATATTGTCTCCAGGCTGTGCCATTGTTGCCACACAGTCATAACCATCTGAGTCTGGGCAGTCCAGACTCTTGTTAGAGGGGTGGGGCTTCCATCTACCCTCCTGTGAGCGGCTTTTTCATTCTTCCTGGAAACAGAACAAATGGTGGCTGCTTTGAAAGATTGCAGTGCAAGACCTGTAAAGAGTCACCAGTTAAATTAGTACATATTGGTCAAATGAATGAATGACCTTTCTTTATTGAATGATGGAGGATATTTTCATATTTCTGCCCTCTGCTAGCCCAACTGTAGCTCTTGGGAGTAAGTTGCTCTCTCTCTGTTGTTGAATCCTCTCCGGTTGGACATGGCACCACTGCATGTGACCTTTTGTATAGGCATTGACTGTCATTGACTGTCAACTCTACCTCCATCCGTACAGCAAAGTGTGTGTAGACTCTGCACGTACAACAACAAATAAGACCTAAGATATTACCGTCTCTCTTTCTCCCCTCTCATCCACATGATGTCACAAAATCTCCCAGAAGACTTTTACTGATCTCTTTCTTATTAAAAAGCACTCTGGCCTGGAGAATTGATATTTTACTGCAAAGAAAACTCAATGCAATAATAAAGTAATAACCCCGTGATGAACAATGGGGGCAGAAATGTAATATGTGACAAATTTTCTTTCAGTCACAGAAGATCTTATTAGACGGAATGCTGAACACAATGACTGTATAATTTTTTCCCTGGAGGAACTCTCCTTGCATCAGCAAGAAATAGAAAGACTAGAACATATTGACAAATGGTGCCGGGATCTAAAAATTCTTTATCTTCAGAATAATCTGATTGGGAAAATTGGTAAGTTTCGTCACTCTGTTCTCCTGTTTCTTTAGCATTTTGAATGGAAGACTTAGGAAAATGCAGTGTTTTCAGAGGAAGGCCATAACCGAAAAAGAATTACTGGGACAACAGCCATGCCCAGCTCCCGGTAGTTGGCAAATACAGTATCTCCCTGACTGTGTCCAGGTATTGTGACTCTCACTGGCCAGAAGCATCTCCAGCAAGGAGTTGGGAGAGAAGTTAAAGGCAGGGCACATGCTACTCGACTTGATCACCTAAAAAGACGTGAAACACATTTATTTTTTCAAAATTGGAAAGAGAAGAGGAAATAAGTCAGGCATTTGTTACTTTGCAAAGCTGAATGGATTATGTGAGAATTGAACAAGTCTTTGTCAGGTTACCACACACTGGCAGCCAGTTCCGCCCTGTTTCTTGTGACGTATATACACAAGGCTTTGGGTTTTGAGGGGGTTCCAGTTTACAGGAGTCAGGTGGGTAAAGATGCAAATACCAGCATTATGGCTGGTGCGGCTCCTTGAAGAATGCGGCTTCGAGCTGCAGCCAGGCGGGCTTGCTGATACTGTCTCCAGAGTAAACCTATCCGTCCAGTCACATGCAGAACTGAACCCCAAGTTTCCTCTACCTGGGTAGGTCCTTGCTTTATGGGAGGAGAGGTTTACACTCTGTCTTCTCTGCTGTCAGGAAGATCCCAGAAGCCGGGAAAGAGGATGGGATTGGCTATGCCCAGTTTCTTCTCCCAATTTATCCATCAAAAATAAGTCAATCCTTCTCCCACTCCCTGTGTCTCCCCCCGCCCCAACCCCCAGTAAGAATGAATTAAAGGGTCGAGAGCTGTGGCCTCACTCTAATGCAGGCCCTGCCCTGTGGAAACAGGAGCACCCCCAGTACTCAGAAAAGCAGCAGTGTGGTTCAGTAATAAGAGCAGGCCAAGGCTCTGGCATCAGGTAGACTTGGCTTTGAACCCTGCCTTTGCCATTTATAAGCCGAGTAGAATTAGAAATTTCAGTTAATGTGTGCCTGGTCTTAGTCGGTCCATCTGTAAAACAGGACTAGTTAATCCCCAGCATGCAGAATTGGTATCTGGGCGACCTGAAAGGAGGTGCTTAGCATTCTGCTCACCATGAAACCAGTGCTTATTAGATGAAGGTGGTCAGCTGCTCCTGCTGTCACCATCAGGGTTATTTACCCCAGGGCACCCCAGGCCCTCACATGAAGGCAGGGGCAGAGGGAGAGGTGCATGGAATTGGAGAGGAAGGGATGGGTCAGGGCTGACGAGGTAGAGGGAGTGCCAACCCCTGTGTGCTTAGACATCAGAGCCCAGAGGTCTGCTTTGAAGGTGGTGGTGAACTTTCTCTGGTGATGTGCAGTGGTTCTCAGATGGGTGCATTGGGCAATGTCTGGGGACATTTATGCTTGCTACAAATGTGTGTGTGGGTGCTCCTGGCCCCGAGTCAGTGGAAGCCAGGGAGAGTGTTAACCATCCTACGATGCATAACACAACCCCCACCAGCGACACCTCTCCAGCTCAGTTGTCCATGCCGCTGAGACTGAGCAACACTGTGCTGGACCTGCCTCTGCTTTTGGGAGGAATTGCAGATCGGCCCTCGGATTGTAAAACACCTAGGTTCACATTGTGTTTTGCAGACCTGCTAAAACCCTCTGTGTATTTCTCCTGATAATTATCGTCAGCCTCTTTTACTTAACCAGAAGCCGGGATCTCTGGCCCATCGTTCAATTAAAGGGCTGTTACAGAAAGCCACCAGCTTTGATGTGTGGGGCATTAAAGAGCATTCCTAATTGTAAGATCTAAAAGAGTTCTGGAAATTTTAATCTCCACAGCTGGGTCCATCACAATTACTAATTAGGAACGTAGTATTTTAGTCCTTTTCAGAGCTGTGAGAAAGCTTAAATTTTTGCTTCCAAAGTATACTTAAATTAAACACTCTTTCAAATCCTAATAACAGGATCTTTCAGTGCTGCTCCACCCCTAGGCGCTTGCGCACTTATTCAGCAAGCAAGTAAAACTACCCCTTTGGGATTCAGACTTACCCCCCACCCTACCCCCCATGCCACCGAAGCAGAAGTCTGCAAAGCAGTCGCCTTCCCTAAAGCTCTGTTCCTCACTGGGGGATCCAGATGGGCTGCGGAGGAAGGCGCTGCCTCGTGTTGATCCAAGTGGGAGCTGAGGCCCATCTGGGGTCCCCGGGGAAGGCGCAGAACCTGTGGGGGCGGCCTCCAGAAATCCACCGTCAGCAGCTTCCCGGCGGGCACCGTGCCTGGGTGAAGTTGAGGGCCACAGAGCGTCTGGCACCTGAGGCGGCGCTTGGGCCACTGCGAGTTGGGGCTTCTGCTTGTGGCAGTTGGTGGGAACTGCTTCCGCGGCGACTTGGGCAAAACTCTGAGACCCCCTTCTTGCTGCCAGGGGCGGGGTCTATACTTTGCACTTAGAGAGCATCCTGTTTTCTTCCTCTGAGCAACTTGGTCCCTGTTGTTGTATGTATTTATTTATTTATTCCCTCATTTGTCAGGCAGACAGAGATAGACGTGGAGACAGGCATAGAGACAGAGATCCAGCTCTCACGCACTGACGCACTCCCCACCTGCTCTCAGTGGCTGAGGGGCGCTGGGCTGAGGCCAAGGCTGAGAACCAGAGATGCAATCCAGGTCTCCCACTGGAGTGGCAGGAACCCAATTACTTGAGCTATCCCCGCTGCCTCTCAGAGTCTGCCTCTAGCAGGAAGCTGGAGTCAGGAGCCCGGGCCAGGACTGGAGCCAGCACTCTGATACGGGATGCGGGTGTCTTAACCACGAGGCCAAGCACCTTCCCCCTTCTGGCTGTTCTCGAGGAGTTGATTTAGGAAGTCCTTCCTGCATAAAGCTTAGCTTTTTCCTGTCAGATGTCTCTCCCAGCATTTGGAGGGCTGTACAAGGAAACGCTCGAAGGTTTGCATCAGGGGCCAGCATTGTGGCCTAGTGGGTAAAGCCACTGCACGCAATTCCTGCATCCCATATGGGCGCTGGTTCAAGTCCCAGCGGCTTCACTTCCAGTCCAGCTCCCGGCTAATGTGCCTGGGAAAGCAGTGGAGGACGCCCCAAGTGCTTGGGCCCCTGCAGCCATGTGGGAGACCCAAAAGAAGCTCCAGGATCCTGGCTTCAGCCTGGCACAGTCCTGGCCATTGAGGCCATTTGGGGAGTGAACCAACAGATGCAAGATCTCTCTCTCTTTCTGATTCTGGCTTCCAAATAAATAAATAAATAAATAAGTTTGTGGAAAAATGGAATAAAAAGGGAAGTTCGTTTTGGTGCAGGTTTTTTTTTTTTTTTTTTAAATCCAGGAATAGTTTTTTCTTTTTAAAGATTTTATTTACTTATTTGAAAGTCAGTGTTACACAGAGAGAGAGAGAGAGAGAGAGAGTTCTTCCATCTGATGGTTCACTCCCCAGTTGGCTGCAATGGCTGGAGCTGTGCCAATCTGAAGCCAGGAGCTAGGAGCTTCTTGGTCTCCCATGAGGTGCAGTGGCCCAAGGACTTGGGCCATCTTCCACTGCTTTCCCAGGCCATAGCAGAGAGCTGGATCAGAAGAGGAGCAGCCAGGACTAGAACCAGCGCCTATATGGGATGCCGGTGGTTCAGGCCAGGGCGTTAATCCACTGCGCTACAGCGCCAGCCCCTGGAATAGTTTTTTCATAATAAGCATTTTTCCATGAACTTTCTGAAGTCCTGATATGCATAACAATGAGAGGGTAGGGGAATTCTATTTTGAACAGGTATTCTATTGTGGGCTGCAGTATTAACAGTGGTAATCTTAAGTGTTTTTCTTCAGGATGCAGATGAGACTCTGGCTATCATAATTCCTGGCACACAGAAACCTCCAAATTTTATAACTGTCATGATGTTGCCAGAGAGCCTTTTGTAAACATTCGTGATGCTTAGGGTAATTGCCGTGAGACACTTGTACTTTATTTTAAACTTCTTATTTTAAAAAGAGTGAGTAAACTGGCTCTCTGAGAGGAAAGCTACTGCTCTCAAGTCAATTTGTAAGCGTATGATGCTTCGTAAATTTCATGTGGACGATTTGTGGTCAAAATGGTGGTGATCTTGGGGTCTGCTCTTCATTATAATAACTGAGAAATGGCGGAGGAACCATTGCTTTTAAGTGAGGCTACTTCAAATGCACACTCCTTAGCAGAGTTTTCTGCTAAGAACTGTTACGATACGTAATGATGGAGCATCCAGATGTGGAGTCAAATTTCCCGGCTGTATAACTCAACCTTGGCCAATGGATTCGTTCTCTGTACCTTGGCGTTCTCATTTGTAAAACAAACACAACTTACCCCTATGGGGTTTTTATACAGATTAAGTAAGATAATATATGCAAAATGTTCAAAATGCTCTGTGGCATATAGTTAGCTATCAGCCATTTTGTTACATGTTATTAGCTGTTCTAAAATGATGCCTTGATTTGTTCATACTCAGTGTTTTGCCTGTGTGGGATTTCATGCTTATTAAAACTAATAATCCTATTTTGGGTTGGCTTCAGTTTCAAGTAAAAGAAACTCCACTTCATGTGGCTTAATAGGGAGGAATTCTATCGTCTTACCCATCTGTAAGAGTGGAAGTTGGGCATACGCCAGGGTTGGTTGATTACTTCTCTCTATCATTCTACCAGGCGTAATGTGGGCTTTGTCCTACAGCTAGTTCCCTTGTGATTGGTGTGAGTACCTGGAGGGAGAGTAATTCCTTTCTTATTAACATCCAGTAGGAGAAAGGAAATTCCCAAGCATGAATATAGAGCCTGCTCTTTTAGCTGACTGAGAGTACTTGGTGTGCGTACCTTGTCCTGGACCATATGCGTGAGCTGTCACCAGCAAGAGATACTGAATTGCTATGCATTGGCCAAGCTTGGTTACGCCTAAGCCATTGGATTGGGGATGGATAAAGACCATGGTCAAACCTGGATTCCATCTGAAGGACAAAGGAGGAATTGGGTGTTGCATAGGCAATGGCAGTGTCTGACATACAGGTGCAACAGGGTTTTGATAACCAGAACAACACCCCTTAAATTTTCTTTATCATTTCCACCATGGATGAGGTGGAAATTTATTTTATCTTGAAGGTGAATTAATTACATTATTTGTATATTTCAGAAAATGTTAGCAAGCTCAAGAAACTTGAATATTTGAATTTGGCTTTAAACAATATTGAAAAAATTGAAAATTTGGAAGGTAAGAATTTTATTTTCTCTAGTTATGAATGAAAATTGAAATTTAAAATTAGATTTAAGTAGCACTTCATAAACAAGATGCACACTTTAAAATTAATATTTTACATAAACCTTAAATTTACTAATTCTTATAAAAATTAAGACAATACATTTACAAATGAAAGTCCAGTCTTCACCTCTTGACCTAGTTCCCTTCCCAGAACTGGCCAGGGTTAACACCTAGATGTATAGGAGGTGGTTTGGTTTTATTTTGCTTTCTGTAGATGGAATTATACTATAATACTATTTGGTAAATTAATTTATTCCCTGAAATCACCTTGCTCTTTTTGATATTCAGGAAAGGGGGCGGGGTGCTGTATAACAAAACGATTGCAGAGTGATTTATCTAGCCATTTGTCTGCAGAGGAACATTTGGGTGGATTCTAGCATTTTGCTATAATAAGCATGGTTGTGTAAGCATATTTCACATTTCACTTTGTGTACATGTGCAGTTTTTTTTTTTGCAAGGTTTTTAATTAGAAGTAGAATTCCTGTTTTTAAAATTGCATGTTTTGAAATGTACTGCCAAATCCTTCTCCAAAAAGATTGTATCAGTTTATACTTGCCCTAGTCCATGTGAGTACTCACTGATAGACAATTTCACAAATACTTTGAAATATATTTTTAATATAGGAAGACATTGTTATCTAATAATTATTTTAATATACAGATCTCTTGTTACTGAGCTTCCATATAAACTTTCAGATGTGACATGAATATTTATATTTATTCTTATGTGAATTAGAAGATATTTCATAGCGCTTAGCCACCTTTATATTGATTTGTCTTTATTTTTAATGTGCTTATAAATTCCAAATATTAATCCTTTATCTTATATGTTAGAAATATTTTCTCTTGATCTACTGCTTTCATTTTATTTCAGTTGTGATACTGGAACCATGCAGAAGTCTTACATTTTAATATACCCAGTTATCAATCTTTTTTTATGTGGTTTCTGAAGTCAATATATTCTTATTAAGTTTTAGTTTTAATGATTTTATTTTTATATTAATCTCTCTGATCCATATCAAATATTTCATGTAAAAAGAATCAAAATACTTTTCTCTTTTTAAAAATGTCTCTTAATTAAAATATTTGGAATATTTAGTTTTTAAAATTGGAATATGATTCACAAACTAAAGTTCACTATTTAAAGATAGAGTATATTGATTTTTAGTATATTCACAGGTTGTACATCATCCATCATCACTATCCAATTCAGATATTTTTAGTTCCCCATATCTGGTAACATTCACTGTATCTAGTAACATTCAGTTTCATTGCTCTTTGCCCTAGCAATCTTGAATCTGTTTTCTGTCTCCATAGCATTTTTCATTTTGAATATTTATTAGATATTGAAATCACATAATATATGTGGTATTTTCTGACTTATTTAGTGTAATTCTGTCAAGGTTCCTTCACACTGTAGCATGTATCAATATTTCTTTATATGGCTGAACAATATTCCATTGTATGCATACACCAACGTTTTGCTTACCCTTTCATTAGTTGATGGACATTTCAATTGCTTCCATTTTTTTTGGCTATTAAGAATAAGATGGCTATGAAAATTCATGTGCTTTTTTTGTGGACATATATCTTCAATTAATTTGGAATATACTCATACTTAAGAATGGAATTGCTAGGTCATATGATAACTCTGCGTTTAACTTCTTGAAAAGATATCAAAAACAAACAAGAAAGTTTGCTAAACCTGTTTTCCAAAGTACTTGCACTTATTTTGCATCACACCAGCAATTTATAAGGGCTCCAACTTCTCCATGCCTTGCTCATTCTTGTTATTATCTGTTTGTTTATTTGTTTTTATTGTAGCCATCCCAAAGGATGTGAAGTGGTATCTCATTGTGGTCATGATTTGCATTTATTTAATGACTAAAGATGTTGAATTTTTTTGTGTGCTTTCTAGGTATACCTTTTCTGTAGAAATATGTTTATTCAAAACTTGGGCCCATTTTAAAATTAGGTTAGTTTCTTTTTGCTTTTTTATGTTGAATAGTAAGAGTTCTTTATATGCTCTAGATAATAAATCCTAATTATATGATTTGCAAGTATAGTCATTCATTTTGTGGGTTTTCCTTTTGACTTATTTTATGGTATATTTTGAACCACAATCATTCTTGGAATAAACTAGGAGTGTTTCTATTTTTTTTTTTGAGAATTTTTAAGAGATGGGAATTAATTCTTCCATAAACACTTGATTGAATGCATCATGAAACCATTTGGTCCTGGACTTTTCTTTATGGAAAAGTTTTTTGACTTTATACACTTATGATTAACTCTATGTTAAGTAAAGACTTCAACAAATAGTAGGAAGAAGAGAAGGAAAAAAAAAAAAAACTGTTCCTGACAGTCAAGACAAGGGCTGTTCAAGTCATTCCTTCTCAAAATGTCAATTTTACTTCTACAGATGACCTTTTAGATGCTCTATTAGAAATTGCAGATTAGGGAGAACATATAGTATTGCCCCTTTGGGACTTACTTCATTAAGTATGGCGTCGTCCAGATTCATCCATTTTGCTGCAAATGACCAGATTTCATTTTTTTTTTACTGCTGTGTAGTATCCCATAGAGTACATATCCAATAATTTCTTTATCCAGTCTTCTGTTGATGGGCATTTAGGTTTATTCCATGTCTTAGCTATTGTGAATGAGCTGCAATAAACATGGAGGTGCAGACAGCTCTTTTATTTGCTGATTTCAATTCCCTTGGGTAAATCCCCAGGAGTGGGATGGCTGGGCTATATGGTAGATCTATATTCAAATTTCTGAGGTATCTCCAAACTGTCTTCCATAGTGGTTTTACCAGTTTACATTCCCACCAATAGTAGATTAGGGTACCTTTGTCTCCACATCCTCACCAGTATTTTTTGTTTGTTGATTTCTATATGAAAGCCATTCTAACTGGGGTGAGGTGAAACCTCATTGTGGTTTTAATTTGCATTTCCCTGATTACTAGTGATCCTGAACATTTTTTTCATGTGTCTGTTGGCCATTGGATTTCCTCTCTTGAAAAATGCCTGTTTAAGTCCTTTGCCCATTTCTTAACTAGGTTGTTTGTTTTGTTGTTGTGGAGTTTCTTGATCTCTTTCTATGCTATGATTATTAATCCTTTATCAGTTGCATGGTTTGCAGATAATTTCTCCCATTCTGTCGGTTGCCTCTTCACTTTCCTGAGTGTTCTTTTCCAGCACAGAAGCTTCTCATTTTGATGTAATCCCATTTGTTAATTTTGGCTTTGATTGCCTGTGCCTCTTGGGTATTTTCCAAGAATTCTTTGCCTGTACCAATGTCTTTCAGGGTTTCCCTAATGTTATCTAATAATTTGAAGGTATCAGGTCATAGATTTAGATCTTTAATCCATTTTGAATGGCTTTTGTGTAAGGTGTAAGGTAGGGGTCCTTCTTCATACTTCTGCATGTGGAAATCCAGTTTTCCCAGCAGCATTTGTTGAAGATACTGTCCTTGCTTCAAGGAAGGTTTTAGCTCCTTGGTCATATATAAGTTGGATGTAGATGTTTGGATTGATTTTTGGCATTTCTATTCTGTACCATTGGTCTGTCCTTCTGTTTTTGTACCAGTACCAGGCTGTTTTGCTTATAACTGCCTTGTAGTATGTCTTGAAATCTGGTATTGTGATGCCTCCAGCTTTGTTTTTGTTATATAAGATTGCTTTAGCTATTCGAAGTCTCCGGTATTCACATATCTTTATGGAAATTTTTAAATCACTAATTTAATCTCTTTACTTGTTTTAAGACTATTTGGATTTTTTGTTTTTTTAGTCAGCTTTGGTAATTTATGTATCTCAAGAAAGTCATCTGTTTCACCTAGGTAATCTCATTTGTTGGTATGCGTTTGTTCTTAATATTTCTTTATAGTCCTTCTCATTTTTATAATGTCAGTAGTGATGGCTCTTTTTTTCCAAGATGGTGGAGTAGCACTGGGGCGGTCTGATCTAGGCTGGGCTAAATTAGTAGGAAAGAAGTGGAGAAAGTGCACTCTCAGGGTACAGCTGCAGCAAACTGCAGTGGGAGGTCCTGTGAAAGCTGGGGACACGCTCTGACCTCTGTAGAAGGTGCAGATGTGCAGCAAAGAGCACAAACACAACAAAGGGCTCAGCTGCTTGGATCTAGAAAAAGCACCATGAGGTCAGCCTGCAAGGGCTGGCACCACTGTTGATACAGCTGGAAGGAGAGTCTAGTGGACTGTCTTGTCTTCGAGCCCAGCCCAGAACCCTGACAGGACCCAGAACCCTCACCCAGAGGGGAGAAAAAGTGGCGTGTCTGTCTCTCCCTGTCTCACACCCCCATCCCCTCCCACACACCCACCCAGTGACCTGAGGCCAGCTTTGGGAGGGCTGGCACTATTTTAGGACATAAGCAGGTAGCAGCTGCTCCATCTTTCATGTGTGCACCCAGCAACTAGCGGGAACAGTCTCCACACAGATGGCAGAGGCAACCAAGGCAGTTTGAGTGCAGTTGGTGGGGATGCTCTCCACCTTGTCAGCTGCATCTACTGGGCAACAGGTGGGGAGGGGGAGCCATCAAAACGGAAAGGAAGTGCCACCTGTGGGGACTCTTGCATGCGCCCAGCACAATTGTGAAACAAATGGGGCTGTGGCCTGGCCAGGGGGTATTTTGCATGCATGTGTCCAGGGATTTTAACAGAGGGAAAGACCCACATTCCCCACTGACTTTGGATCAGGCTTGATCCATTAGGGCAGAACACACATGGGCAGCAGCTCTGGGAATCCCTCAGTCTCTCTGGATGGGACAGTCTTGCAGGGTGGAGTGGGCCCTCTTGCACTCCTTGACCATTGGAGACTTGGGCACTGAGACTGTGAAAACACTGTGACTGTGTGAGAGGGGGCAGGTTGTAGCTGTATTTCTGGGCAGTCACTGGGTGCACACTCTCGGAGCTCCTTGGTTACCTAGAGCAGCTCAT